GAGCATATCCTTTACAAGGATTAGACTACATGCAACTATGCATTGAATTTTATTTTCTAACTTTAGCTGAGCGACGATTCTTAGCTCAATCAATTTTTTTATTTAAGTTAATTAAGAATGAGATTAACTGTGCTGATTTATTGTGTCGTGTTACGTCCGGACGTGTCGGTTCGACCTTTGTTTTTATTAAAATTTGAGAAAGGGAAACCAATGATGATATATAATTATTTTATAATGATTATATATAAACATGTGTGACTATGTTGATTGTGTGAGCCCACCGTATGAATGAATAAAATGACAAATTGTTTAATATAAGTTATATGTTAATAGTTTAATTATCTTTATTTTATATTTTTACCAATATTTAAATAATAATTCCATATTTCTCCTAATATAACGATATTTTAGCATTGTATAGTCAACAATTCTAAATCATAAATGTAACCCTAAACTTAAAATCCTAGAAGAAGATTATTAAGAATTTGGGAATTTACGTATTATAAACTTCATTATTCCAAGAGACGATTTAGAGAATGGGCCATCTTGTCACTTCTTTTGAATTGGAGCCTTTCTTAAGCTGGGTCCTCGTTTATTTTACATTAATCAATTTTCCATCTACTAGAGTTTATTGCGGTAAACTCTATCATAAAAAAGGTGACTCGAAACTCTAAAAAAAATAACAAGACCGAGGTCTGTAACGCAGATGCTCGGTAATAAACTTAGACCCACAGTAATGAGTCATTTTGGGACTTAAACTACACCCTCTACATGATTTTCCTCCTCTTTTCCATTGCTAATTGCGATTGGAGGAAATTCTATGTTTGGAAGGGAGAAAATTACAAAGTAGGGATATGATTTTGGCAAATTTCAATCCTTGAGGCCCTCGAGTGTCACCAAAGTTAGTAATCTTTTGAACTCGAAAGAGTAACATAAAAATAACGAGGTCTCTGTTTACGGGCCCCTTTTCAAGTTCTTGCTGGACTTTGTCCACCTTTTAAGAACCACTGAAGTGCTCGTGGTCGGTCCGCTTTGCGTCTTCTTGATTTCGCCCGTGATCTAATAAGTTCCGGTAGTTTTATTAAAATTAAAATTATAAAATACAGAATCTTCTTCAAGGATATCGACGTCTATTGCTGTACTCTTATTGGTATAGTAAGTAAAAATATTAACTATTTTCAATGGTTTATTCGGAAAAATAAAAGTTATTATAAATAAAGTCAGTGATTAAAATTTAATTGTTTTATTCCACGGTGTGGGTTGGTATTCCCTTTGAATGAGTAAGGATCCACAGAGATATTAAATAAAATATCCTCTTAAAGTTAAATAAATTAAAATTCCTGAACGCCACCTTCCGTGCCGTAACAGTCGCATTAATATTAACCCGGACTGAAACTCGCTTGACGAGATTCGGGAATTTGTGTCGCGAGGTCCAAACGAGGTTGAGTTGATGTTTAAATGTCCGCGCATAATAAAAATCAGTCACAGAGGTTGGCTGAATATTGGATTTGAATTTCTGTTAAATATTAAAATTAAAGATTCTTGGCATATTGTAAGGGGATATTTAAGGAAATTAAAAATTCAAGATTTGTTAAATGTAATCGTTAAATATTCTGAAAATTTAGAAGGAGCATAAATACGGAAAAATAAAAAGAAAGCAAATGAATTTAAAAACCCAATGGGAAAAATTAATAATTAAATTAAAATAAAAAAATGGTCATCAAAGTATTAGTGAAACAATTTCATCCAAAAAAGAATTTGTCTCAAATCCAATAAATAGGAGAGACATCGAGCAGAAAAAAAAATTTCGACAAGAAAGAAATTTTCGATTACTTCTTATATACCAATCTAATGGCACCTCAACTGCGAGACACAGTTATGATGTTCGCCCTCCCTGTGGCGTTGAACGAACTAAAGACCAGAGCTGAGCCTTTTTTTTTAAAAAAATTTGATTTTATTAGATATTTTATTTTATTTTAAATATGACAAATAATTAATTTAATAAATAATTATTAATAACATAATGTCATACTTAATAATTTGTTAATTAATTATTTTTAACGAAAATTTGACAAAAAAAAATTTGTGGTCAAAAAAAATATTACCATTAAAAAATAATTTTTGTGTTAAATATTCGTAGTAAAAAAAATTAATCAACTAATTATTAAGCTAATTATTTAATTAATTTTTTTTACAGAGAAATTTTGAAAAAAAAATTATTTTCTCATGGTGATATTTTTTTGGGCCACAAATAATTTTTTTACTGAGAAAATTTAAAAATAAGTAAATTTCTCATCGTAATATTTTTTTGTGCTACGTATAATTTTTTTGTTAAATTTTTTGACAGAGAAATTTTTACAACAAAATTATTTTTCATCGTGATTTTTTTTAAGACACGAATAATTTTTTTCAAAGAAAATTTGAAAAAAAAATTATTTTCTCATTGTGTTATTGTTTTGTGCTACGAATAAATTTTTGGTAAATTTTCGTTGTAAAAAAAATCAACTAATTATTACGGTATTTAGTTAATTAATTTTTTTGGAGAGAAAATTTGACAAAAAAGTTATTTTCTTATCGTGATAATTTTTTAGGCCACAAAATATTTTTTTCAGAGAAAATTTAAAAATGATTAAATTTCTCATCTTGATATTATTTTTGTGCTATAAATATTTTTTTGTTACATTTTCGTAGTAAAAAAATGAAGTAACTAATAATTACGTTATTTAGTTAATGAATTTATTTACAGAGAAAATTTGACAAAAAATTATTTTCTCATCGTGACATTTTTTTTGAGCTACCAATAATTTTTTTACAAAGAAAATTTAAAAAAATTATTTTCTCATGGTGAAATTTTTGTTGTGCTACGAGTAAGTTTTTTTGTTAATTATATTCTCATCGTGATATTTTTTTAGGCCACAAATAATTGTCTTGAAAAAATTTTTTTTACTACGAATATTTAACAAAAAAATTATTTTTTTAATGGTAATATTTTTTTTGACCACAAATTTTTTTTTGTCAAATTTTTGTTAAAAATAATTAATTAACAAAATATTAAGTATGACATTATGTTATTAATAATTATTTATGACATTAATTATTTGTCATATTTAAAATAAAACAAAATATCTAATAAAATCAAATTTTTCAAATGTTCCCGCGCTACGCTGATGGCTCAGCTCTGGACTTTAGTTCGCTCAACGCCACAGGGAGGGCGAACATCATAACTGTTTCTCGCAGTTGAGGTGCCATTAGATTGGTATATAAGCAATGATCGAAAATTTTTTTCTTGTCGAAATTTTTTTTTCTGCCCGATGTCTCTCCTATTTATTGGATTTGAAACAAATTCTTTTTTGGAAGAAATGGTTTAACTAATACTTTGATGACCATTTTTTTATTTTAATTTAATTATTAATTTTTCCCATTTCTTTTTATTTTGCCGTATTTATGCTCCTTCGAAAATTTCCAGAATATTTAACGATTACATTTAACAAATCTTGAATTTTTAATTTCCTTAAATATCCTCTCACAATATGCCAAGAATTTTTAATTTTAATATTTAACAGAAATTCAAATCCAATATTCAGCCAATCTCTGTGACTGACATTTATTATGCGCGGACATTTAAACATCTAATCAACCTCGTTTGGACCTCGCGGCTCAAGTTCCCAAACCTCGTCAAGCGAGGTTCAGTCATGATTCAGGGAAGTTTCGGTGCTGTCCGGGAAAGTACCAAGAATCGAGTCTAGATACTATCAACCTTTTAGTGTACCATTGACCTAGATCTTGGTCAATTTTTGAGCTACAGAGTTCATTTTTTTTCAAATCACTCAGAATTTTATACACCGAAAATCTTTCCGGCGCGCTGCCACCTCAGTGGTCGTCGCGCTACTTTCTTTTACCTGAAGTAACACTGCGCACCCATTGGATCATTCTGCGCACTGGTTCTCGGGCTCGCTGCCAGCTTTCGAGAGCTGTCAGTGATCCCACAGAGACGAGAAGCTGGCATGCCCACATTTTGAGATCGATGCGCGAGCTTGCTGTCTGCTTTCGTGGGCGCGCAGCATGCTCTCGAGAGCAAGACGCCGAACCGAGAAGCGGGAACGCAGCTACCATCTACTTTGGTTTGCTGCGAGCTTCGCCGGTCAGGCAGCGCGCCAGAAAGTTTTTCAGTGTAGACTTTCTTTTTTATAATAACTATTTTTATGCTAAAATGTCATTGAAAGCGGAAATTTGAAAAAAATTGATTTTTTGCATCTATTTCCTAAAAAATTGTTAGCTTCCAGTAGAAGTTCGAAGTATCAAATTTAGGTACTTTATTTTTACCCCAAAATATAAGGTTTAAGCAAAAAAATTGACGTCTTTAGTTAAAACATCTAAAAATGCTAACTTGACTGGACTAATACTAATTCTACACTTAATGCCTAGTAGCTTAGCACCACCATAGCTGATAGAGAAGAATGACCAAAAACTTTTGCGTGCAGGAATATGTAAAACGTGAATATATTTTAAATAGGATCAGCTGGGATTTCAGTTTTTGACGATACTTTTATGCATCTTTTCGTCATTTCTGGAAGCATTGTATTTGCTGCAATATGTCCCTTTCACGGTGAAATGTCAAATATGAAGAGCCAAATATTAGGTTTGTTTGGATAAGAACGGTAAAGAAAAAAGAGTTAAAAATAGGGAATGGGAATTGTTGAGACTGAAGAACCAAAAGGAGATTCAAAAGCGGATGCTAGAGAGTAAAATTGAAAAACTCTAATAATAAAAGGAATTTGAAAATTAAAAATTGATTTTATTGTTTTTTGATAAAATAATGTTTAAAATTATTTTATTTGTGTACTTTAAATAATTCAGAAATTTATTGTAGTAAATTGATTGTACTTTTAATTTTTTCTGAGAATACAATTTTGCGAACTGATAATTTTGTTTTTATTTTTTGCTTTTTTGTAAGGAAAACTACACAGTTGTAAAACAGACATTTTAAAAAAATACTGTACCTTGAAGAGAATAATTGTAAATTTGTAATTTCAAATTCGGCACAACATGTCCATTATTTGCATATGGATACAAAGTATTCACCAGATCTCTTGCAACTGTATTACACGGATCTATCATGTAATCAGTAGAATTACTTTTAAGAAGAACCTTATTCAGTATTTTTCGAAAATGTTGCCACTCATCTCCATCCCTAAAATAAAAAAAATATACTTTCATAAAAATATGTGTTTAGTTAGTTAGTACTTATTAAGTAGAAGAAGAATTCTAATTATAAAAATTTACAAAATTGTACTCTTTCACATATTGTCGGTACACCGATTATGAGCTCATTGAAAAACATGGTACCTATCTTCAAACTATAATAACTTATTTACTAATTAAAACAGAAATTAAAAAAAAAATTCACTGAAAAGCTTAAGAAATTCCAAATCAAATGATATATTAATAAATACATTTCAAGACAGAAATGTTTTTCAATGAGTTCAAAGCGGCGTACCGATAATTTCCGTCGGTAGACGGGCAAATCCACGAAACTTTTAACTTTTATGACACCTGAATCAAACACTTAAAAGTCTATATTATTTTTAATTAAAACTTCATATATAATTTTTCTTGCTAAATTATATACAAAGTAACATTTCTGTACAATATTAGAAGAAAATATTAATTTTTCAATTAGTTTTATAGGTTAAAAAGTGAAAAAACACTGAAATTTCATGTGACACCGTCAGAAAAGTTTACATTCTGAACGACTTTTCTCTTGCGGCGTGTAAAATATCGCTTCAGCTGCAATGGAAATATCTAACAGACATATTTTGTCAAAATTTTTTCACAATCCCATTAGTGTGGCCTCAATGTTAATAAAGATATGAAGGGTTGATTGAGTGACGCCACTTTTTGAGACAATTTAATTAAACATCTTCTTAAGAAAATATTTTGTGCGGCGTTCAATGAAAATAAAAGTTCAATGGATTTCTGAATAGAGAATGAAAAAACGAATATTTTAAGACCTTTTTCATTGATGTGCCTCTAAATGTACTCCTGTAGGAGCAATTAGAAGATGATAATAAAAATCGTGATTTCATTTAAATTTATACATTTTTGAAAGGCACAACTGCATTTTTGCTTTAAACAGGTCAATCTATGGTGTGATCGAAACATTTTCATACATATATTTGAACACAAAAAACGCCGCTTAAGTATTTTGAATGAAACAAATTTTATTAAGTTAAGAATATGCTGAAAACACTTTTTTGGAGTCTTTACCCCCTCTTTTCTGAAAATCCTGACGTGCTAAGCAAATTTGGGTGCCAGAATCGTGTTCAGAGGACGAAAATACTTTGAAAACCACTCCGATATCAAAAAAAAAAAAGTTAAATTTTTCAATTTTATATGAAATTTATTAACATTAAAGAGTTTAAACATTGACGGCGTGAGCTAAAAATGAATCACGCATATGAATTTGTAGTGCTAAAATGTACTTAAACGTGTATACAAAGTGACATCAATGTGCCTGCAAATTAAAAAAAGAAATTTTCTTTTCTTGAAAGTTAAAAGTTTCGTGGATTTGCCCAGACACATACAACAATAAAAATTTCTGTAGTTGCACACATAGTTTTGCCCTATAGGTGAATACTTTAACTACGAAATAATGTTAGGTTTTATCAAAAACTATTGGAGGAGGAGAGGGTTGAATTTTTTTTTTAAATGTGAACTATGAATTTTTGAAAAAACATAAATATTAAACAATCCCAGTCAAAAATCGTGCGCTTTATGAAGTTAAGTAAATATTCTAATTAAAGCTTTAGGATAGTTGCTAACAGAAGTTGTTAAATGACAGTGGGAAAGTTATAACACATTGTAACAAGCATTTTTATTTCTGGGATCGCATATGGTGATTCTTACATGTTTTTTGACGCTAAACAAGAATCCGAACTCAAAATTGTTTCATCACCCTAGGTATTCTAGAAATTTGACCTTGAAATTTAAAAAATGACCTTCTTTGGATCCTTTTTAATTTTTAATAACGGTACAAAAATATAATTCTATAAATCTCTCGGGAGTTTCCAGGGTCAGTAACACAGGTGTACAAGATTTTTTTTTGAGATATCACAGTGGTTTCCAATGTATTTACATGTGCATTCGTTCGTGATATCTAAAAAAAACTTGTACACCCTGGAAACCTCCGAGAGACAATTTTTAACGAAACTTATCAATTTTTTCAAACGCAAACTCCAAACAAGGTTACATGGTTACAGCTTTAATTAAAATATTATTACTGTGAATAATAGAGGCAAAATAAAGCAAGTTTTTCTGATAGTTTACATCCTAAGCTTTGCAAAACCACATAAAAAATTATAATTCAATGTGGGACATTTTGGTGTGACGAAACAATAGTCTGTATTTGACTCGAAACGTTAACATATTTTTAATAAAATATACAAGGGGTAAAATTCATGTAGCCAATTGTTTATTAACAATGCACTAACCCAAAGTACTTCATATAGGGCTCGTTGGATGGGGAATTATGTCTATTTTCATTTAGTAACGTCAGAATTACAATAACTTTATTCGTTTATAAAATATATAAATTTTTATTGACATTAATTAATAATTTAACTAATATCTCAAAAATAAAAAAAAAATCTCAATATTTTTTGAGGTAAAAATGCCCCTTTTTAAGTTTCAAAAAAATAAAAGTAAATTTAAAAAAAGACCGAACATAAAAAAAAGGTCAAAAAAATTTTTGATTTTCAGAAAAAAGGGTCAAATATTGAATTTTTTGAAATTTTTTTTTCACCAATCGAAAGAGCACAAAAAAAATTTGGAAAACATATATGGCAAAATTTTTTTTGATTACTTACATAATATTTATAATTTTTAGTTAATTAATTAACTATCAAGGTTAATAAAAAATCATATATATTACAAACAAATAAAGTTATCGTAATTCTGACGTTACTAAATGAAAGTTGACATAATTCCGCATCCAACGAGCTCTATATGAAGTACTTTGGGTTAGTGGATTGTTAATAAACAATTGGCTAACATGGCAATTGTTTATAAAAAATCCTCTAATCGAAAATAGTCCATATAAGGCTCGTTGGAAGCGGAATTACGTCAGCTTTCAATTGGTAAAAGTCTTCAAATATTCACTGTTTAAATTTTTCAAAAAAATTCAACCTCCTCCCTCTTCGACAGTTTTTGAAAAAACCTAACAATACTTCGTAGTTAATGTACTCACCCATAGTGCTAAACTATGTACAAGTTGTAGCCCGATCCGATCAACTTTTATTTCACTTAGTGCGCTACAGGAATTTGACATACACAATATCAGTTTTCAAAGCTCTTTTGATGCTATTTCGATTGGTAATATGCATGTTTGAAAAAAACAAAAAAAAATTAAACTCGAAAATAAATTGACTTTTCGGGGTAAAAGGTACGATTTTTTTAAAACGAAACCTGAGGTTTTTTCCAACAAAAATATGTAATTGCAAAAATTGTACAAGAATGTTTAAATAAAACTAACTAATTCCATTATTTAAGTGTTACAATATTTGTATTTTTACTAAATTTTTATAACCTGAAACTATTTAAATTGCCCGAGTTGATCAAAAAAATGAAAATCAAAAATAAATTTGACTTTTCAGGTTAAAAGATACAATTTTTATGAATCGAAACCTTACACGGAGAGAAACAGATGGTACGGAGTACTATCTAGATAGTACCAAGTACCATATTTGATCATACATATGCGGACAGCAATCTAGATTCTATCAGTTACAATCCAGATTGTACGGAATAACATCTTGATTGTAGTGGGTAACATAACCATACTTTTTGTAACATCTTTGATAGTACCGAGTAGCATAATGATAGTACCGGATAACATCTACTTTTTACCATCTTAAAATCATAAGTTCTTACCGTTTATTTCTCTCCGTGTAGGTTTTTTATTACAGAAAAATATAGTTGAAAAAATTGTACAAGAATGTTAGAATATTGAAAAATAGTAAAAAATGGTCAAAAAAAGAAAAAAATGTTAATTATCAATATTTAAACATTCTTGTCCCATTTATTCAACAATATATTTTTGTAAGAAAAAGCCTCAGCTTTCGATTACAAAAAAGTCGCACCTTTTATCCCGAAAAAGTTAAATTTATTTTTGAGTTTCATTTCATTAGTCAAAAAATTTTTTTTTTTAAATGTATAATACCATTCAAAAGAGCATTAAAAAAGCTTTCGAAACTGATATTAATAATAAAATTTTATTTTGATATTTAAAACAAGTTGTAAATTCAGATGTTCATTACATGAACATTTTGCTTCCTCTTTACGATCAGCAAAAAAATTTGCTTCCTCGTGGAGAAAGCATTAACATTGAAATAAACATACAAAAATAATATAATAATAATATAAACATTTGAGTACCTACAGATTTGAGTTAAATTTAAAGAATTAATGGAAGTTAAAAAATCAAAAATTCACATTTTAGCTGAAATTTCTAAAAATTAATAAAAAATAATATATAATTTATAATTATTTACAATTATATCGGTTTGTTTCAATGCAAGGAACACAATTATTTTATATTTAAACTTGAATTTAAATAAATACAAAATTTTTCAGCTAAAATGGGAATTTTTTTTTTTAACTTTCATTAATTTATTAAATTTACCTCAAATGTATACCAATCGATTTGTCTTGTCGTAGGGAATACGATTTTACTATATATATAGGGGAGGATGGGGCATGAATAGTTAGGTAAGACGTTTTCGAATCTAGCGACCAAACCTAAATTTGTATCTGCAAACGAGTAGTATTTTCGGAAAGCCTGGTTATTTGGCTATAATTTTGCTATACATTATTTTGCTGTAGAGTGCAATCCCTACGAGATACGAATGAAAAAGTAAAAAAAAATTTCAACTATCCTTGCCCCGGTACTGGGGTAAGGATAGTTAAAAGAATCCAAATGCTAAAATTATCATAGAAAATCAGTAAATTTTCGGTTTCTTTATTTTATTGGATTTAGAAAAAAAAACAAGAAAAACAAATGTAAAAATTTGTTTAACTCCTTAAACATTGCTTTGGATGAGAACCTTCCTAAAAGAAAAAGTATTTTCAAAATTTATTACGGCGGATCCAATATGGCGGACGGAAAAATTTAAAACTCTTTGAATTCGTCTAACTTTCGTTCCTCGGAGGTTTTTTGGTCGCTGAACACGAATCTGAGGTTAGATCTTCAAAATTCAAAATGGTTGATCTTATCTGACGGACAAAAATATTAAGAAATCTTTTAATTTGCCTAAATCTTCGTATATTTTACTTTTTTTTGTTATTTTTATTTTGCACAATAAAATGTTTTTTAATTTGCTTTTCTAAGAGTTTCCTAGAAGATCCTAGTGCCCAAAACACTTTTCATTTCAAAAAACCAAAAAAAATTTTTTTTAAAACAAATTATATAAACAAAAGGATTATCAGGCCCACTCCAAAACTTATTAAAATTTTTTTGTATTTTTCTCATGTTTGTAAAAATATATAAAAATAAAAATTGAGAATTTATAAAAATATAATCGCCCATATATATAAAAAGAATAAATATAATTGAGCACCTGGAAATAAGAACTCGCTAAGCGCTCGGCTGCACGCTACAAAGCCAGTGAAACATACAAAAATGATGAAAAAATAAAATTCGAAATTTTTGATTTTTGAAAAATGCTATCTTGTAGGAAATGAAAAGGCACATCTTTTTTTCCCTTGGATTTTTCTCGTCAAATGAATAGTTTAATTAATAAATGTAAAAAACTAATAAATTTTTGTTTCCAAATTTCATTCAATTTTTAAACATAAATCATCGTATCTTCGACAAATATTAATCAATTCCAATGAGATTTTGCATACTTCCGTGTTTGGGTCTATAGATGACGATAGTCTAAAAAATTTTGAAATTTTTTCAATTGTTGACCAATTTTTAATTATAAACAAATACCTGTCGGTAATCATACTCAGTTATCTTCGCGGACAAAAAGTCTGCGGGGAAGTTCATAGTTGAAAGAACTTCCAGTAAGACATTTGTTTATTAGGATATAATGAAGTTTTCTGTAAAGTTTCAAGTAGATTAATTCAATAGTTTAAAAAATATTGAATTTTAATGATTGCGCGTGTGGCGCGCCAACGAATAGGCAAGTGAATAGAATCGCTGAGCAGTTCATTACATGAAAAATGACCACTTTCTCACATCTTTTTTCTCTTAATTTCATTATTATTATAAATAAATTGTTTTAAATTAGGTTAAACAATTTAATTTATAGCTACTGGGTTAAATTTATTGTATGTTAATGTGTTAAAAACATACGAATAAAATAATGTTTTCAAAATTATATGAAAATTTTTGCAAAAATTATAAAGATATTATTTAAATAATGTGTTATGTGTAAAATTTTGCAATTAGCTAATTCTTAAAATAATTTTTTTAAGTACATTTTCTAATTTTCATTTTATCAGTTGAATTCAGAATTTATATTGTCTATTTAAAATTTTCTATTTACCAGTTATTGTTGATAGTTTGTAATTGTTTTGTTGTTGATATACATCTAATGTCTAATTAACTATATTGTTAAAAATTTTGACTACTTATAGTTATTAATATTTTGTATTAATTATATGTACATTTTGAATACTTATAAGACATTCTAATTTTTATTATTGAGTTGTATTTTTAAATATAAACAAATAAATATATATATATATATATACACATGATAAATACTAAAAAAAAATTATTTATCAAGCCAATTTAAAACAATTTATATATAATAATAATGAAATTAAGAGAAAAAAGATGTGAGAAAGTGGTCATTTTTCATGTAATGAACTGCTCAGCGATTCTATTCACTTGCCTATTCGTTGGCGCGCCACACGCGCAATCTTTAAAATTCAATATTTTTTAAACTATTGAATTAATCTACTTGAAACTTTACAGAAAACTTCATTATATCCTAATATACAAATGTCTTACTGGAAGTTCTTTCAACTATGAACTTCCCCGCAGACTTTTTGTCCGCGAAGATAACTGAGTATGATTACCGACAGGTATTTGTTTATAATTAAAAATTGGTCAACAATTGAAAAAATTTCAACATTTTTTAGACTATCGTCATCTATGGACCCAAACGCGGAAGTATGCAAAATCTCCTTGGAATTGATTTATATTTGTCGAAGATACGATGATTTATGTTTAAAAATTGAATGAAATTTGTAAACAAAAATTTATTAGTTTTTTACATTTATTAATTAAACTATTCATTTGACGAGAAAAATCCAAAGGAAAAAAAAATGTGCCTTTTCATTTCCTACAAAATAGCATTTTTCAAAAATCAAAAATTTCGAATTTTATTTTTTCATCATTTTTGTATGTTTCACTGGCTTTGTAGCGTGCAGCCGAGCGCTTGGCGAGTTCTTATTTCCAGGTGCTCAATTGTTTTTAAATTGTGCACTTTCTAGGATATTCTAATTTTAAATGTTTTACTTAATTTTTACAACTTGAAACTATTTAAATTGGCCCAGTTGAGAGAGAATTTCTCATGTATATGCACACATACATACATTCGGATTTTTGATCAGGCGCTTATGTGAGGCATTCTTTGTAGAGAAAAATTTGATTAATGCATTAAATAGTATATTAATCAATAATGGTAAAAGGCAATCATTTCTTACGTTGGCGTTTGTAGCCTGAGACGTGAACAAGTGCTAGCAAACGTCAACGTAAACAAGTGACTTCTTTTGGACACATGTTACTTACGATATTTTTTACTTTTAAGGCACAAACGTTACGTTTTTAGGTTAATTGATGGCCATTCATTTGTTCTACTGTTCGAAAATGCCATCCATCTTTACTCTCGGGTAAAAGGAACACATGAGTTAGCTGTTCATTTTTATTCTAAGGCAAAAATTAACGCTATTTTTAGACGGGAGAATATATGATTGGCTTAACACCCGGACGTTAGGTATCTAAAAACGCCATGTTTTTGCCCGAAGAATAAAAACATGTTTCTAAATGACTACAAAGCTTTTTCCACGAGGAAGCAAAATTGTTGATTTCAAAACAATCCTCCATGCAAAATTTAAAAATTATAAAAACAGATACATGAAGAAAAGGCCGCGTAGATTCTTTGAATGGTCATTGTTATAAAGAATCCATGCTTCTGGTATGAAGTGTTTTGGTGTTGGTCCTTCCAATTCCAGAAAAATTTTTCTGTATTCTTCAGAAGAATTAATAAAAACTATCGATGTAGAACCTGAGTTACTCCTATAAATAGGGCCCAAGTTTTTATGACGTTGATCGACATATTCGTGAAGTTTTGTTCCCCATCTTGAAGCAATGAGAAAACGAATTTTGCTTAAAACAGAAATTATTGGATCCTCTGGCATTTGACGAATTGAGCACAAAGAATTCACTGTCGCATGAGATGTATTTATAGCTGATTCAATCTTTACTTCTTTTTTTGCAGCAAAAACATAGTTTTGTTTTTTAGAGCAACGTTCCCAAATGACACGAACTTGATTTTTAAAAAATTGTGCAAGAGATGTGTAAAAATTGTTACTCATTGTTTATCAATTAAGTTGATTTTATATGTAGTGCTTTTCTCGTAACTTATCACTAAAATATAATTATGAACACTTATTGCATTAAATTTATCATTAATTATACTACATTCGTATTATAAATAATAAGGGTAGGTCCTAGTAAGGCAGCACCATCTATATTGAAACTAACATTTCGTACAATTTTCCACAGTATTTTCTTGAAAACAAGACAATAAAATACTTTTTCCTTTCGAATAATTGATTATTGTCAAGAAATACAACTGACAAAACTTTTTTTGAGTTAAAATAATGAAAAAAATTAATGACGATAAATTAAATATGAGCATATTTTTACGAAAACTTTTAAAATACTTTCTCGGAAATAACAAAAAAGAACACAATTTTCATTTGGAGAATTAATAAACACTAAACAATGCACCAGCTAAGATTCGCCAATCACGAAAATAACAACAAAAACATTTTTTTAACATAACACATCAACACTATATTACTGATTTTTACAGTCATTTGTTAGGTAATATATGACATAAGACGTTTTGCAATTCTGCTAACAGGAGAAGATTGGCGCTGTTGCTAACGAAAAAAATATATCACTTGACAAATGGCTGTCAAAATCAGTAATATAGTTTTGATGTGTTATGTTAAAAAAATGTTTTTGTTGTTATTTTCGTGATTGGCGAATCTTAGCTGGTGTATTTTTTAGTGTTTATAAATTCTCGAAATGAAAATTGTGTTTTTTTGTTATTTCCGAGAAAATATATTTAAAGTTTTCGTAAAAAAATATGCTCATATTTAATTTATCGTCATTAATTTTTTTTCATTATTTTAACTCAAAAAAAGTTTTAGTTGGTGTATTTCTTGACAATAATGAATTATCCTAAAGGAAAAAGCCTTTTATTGACACTTGTTTTCAAGTAAATACTGTGGAAAATTTTACGAAATTTTAGATTTAATATAGATGGTGCTGTCTTACTAGGACCGACCCTCAAGGTATCCTACAAAAACATAAATTTCAATTTTATTTATTTTCCTAATTTTGTTTTATGAAAAATGAAAAATATATGATATAAATGTTCTACTGTTTTTTAAGTAAGACTAACCTGACCTACAGAGTCCGCAAAAGTGAGCATTGAATTCCAGTTAGAAAAAAATAAGTTTACGGAAATTGTTTATATATATAATATATATATGAGAGATTCTCTTTCAATTGCCGCAGCCCAAAAAATCAATGTTCTGGGATTGGCTTCATACTTTGGTAAATTGTTATCCTATATGATAGTAATAAATCCCTTAAACATTAATTCATTAAAAAAATTAGTAGAAAGTAGTGGGAGTGGAAGTTCTAACGTTTTCGGTAATATTGTAATTTTCAAATCCGTACAACTATGACAAAATTCAATGGATTTTAATTTATGTATAGTGAATTTTACAGCATTTTTCACGTTCTTTTCAATAATATAAACGAAATTTAAGAAAAAAAAATTTTCATCTCTTTTTTTCAAAATCAACCTTTATTTCAACCTCATTCTTTTGAGCAACCAAAGCAACGGTGCTTACATGTCGTCGTACACACCTATGTTATTCTTATTTACTTCAGTACCTAATAGCTCTCTACCTTCTACAGGGTTGAGACTGTCCACAAAATAATGCCTGCATTATTACTATGGATAGAAATTTTAATTTTAAAAAATGATAAATCAAAGATTAATAAAAAGTGAACACGTTTATAATTGGTATGAAATTCTTAATTTAAATGAACTAGTGAATATAATTTGCTTAAAATATTAACTTGGGATTAATTTAAAATTATTTTCAATTTAATATAAGGGTGAAAATCGAAAAATCAGGGTTGATTTTGAAAAAGAAGGAGTGAAAAAATTATTTCTTCAATTTCATTTATATTACTGAAAAATACGTGAAAAATGCTTTAAAATTCACTATACATAAATTAAAATCCATTGACTTTTCTCATGGTTATACGGATTCGAAAATTACAATATTACCGAAAACGTTAGAACTTCCACTCCTACTACTTTCTACTAATTTTTTTAATGAATTAATGTTTTAGGGATTTATTGCTTTTAAATACCCAATGGGAAAAATACCATTGGCGTATTAATGGCCCAATAATGGGAGCCAGGGATGCCAATATAATTTCAATAATGGCACCCAATAATGGACCATTATTGGTAAAGTCATGGGCTGTCCACGCCGATGCCAATGATTGGCAACCATCATTGGCAAATTATTGGCAACCAATAATTATCAAATATTAAAAATTTTAATAATAATTTAAAAAATCAATAATTTAAAAAAAAATTTATATTTTTATTATTTTTTAATAGTTATTATTATTATTATTATTTTTAATAATTAAATTAAAATAAAAAAATGGTCATCAAAGTATTAGTGAAACCATTTCTTCCAAAAAAGAGTTTGTCTCAAATCCAATTAATAGGAGAGACATCGGGCAGAAAAAAATTTCGACAAGAAAAAAATTTTCGATCACTGCTTATATACCAATCTAATGGCACCTCAACTGCGAGAAACAGTTATGATGTTCGCCCTCCCTGTGGCGTTGAGCGAACTAAAGTCCAGAGCTGAGCCATCAGCGCAGCGCGGGAACATTTGAAAAATTTGATTTTATTAGATATTTTATTTTATTTTAAATATGACAAATAATTAACTTAATAAATAATTAATGTCATTAATAATTATTAATAACATAATGTCATACTTAATAATTCGTTAATTATTATAAAATAAAATATCTAATAAAATCAAATTTTTTAAATGTTCCCGCGCTGCGCTGATGGCTCAGCTCTAGACTTTAGTTCGCCTAACGCCACAGGGAGGGCGAACATCATAACTGTTTCTCGCAGTTGAGGTGCCATTAGATTGGTATATAAGCAGTGATCGAAAATTTTTTTCTTGTCGAAATTTTTTTCTACCCGATGCCTCTCCTATTAATTGGATTTGAGACAAACTCTTTTTTGGAAGAAATGGTTTCACTAATACTTTGATGACCATTTTTTTATTTTAATTTAATTATTAAAAATAAAATAATAATAATAATAATAATAATAATAATAATAATAACTATTAAAAAATAATAAAAATATAAATTTTTTTTTAAATTATTGATTTTTTAAATTATTATTAAAATTTTTAATATTTGATAATTATTGGTTGCCAATAATTTGCCAATGATGGTTGCCAATCATTGGCATCGGCGTGGACAGCCCATGACTTTACCAATAATGGTCCATTATTGGGTGCCAATGGTTTTTTCATTGGCTCCCATCATTGGGCCAATTAATACGCCAATGGTTACTCGTGGCAGTTTCCCATTGGGTAGGACAACAATTTATCAAAGTATCAAGCCAATCCCAGAACTTGTACTTTTTGGGCTGGGGCGATTGAAGAAGAATCCCTCATATATAATCATTGCTTAAAATTTCTAATAACTATACACATTAATTAATATTAATTATTATTAACCCCTTACGGTTAGACCCGAGATATCTCGGGGTAAATGAGCTGTACCAAAACGGTTAACCCCGAGATATCTCAGGGTAACTATATACTTTATATTTTGTAAAGAAAACAATGGATTTACTTGATCTAAAATGCAAATTAAAGGTGATGGTTTAGGCCTTTCCGAAATATATGATAACAATGATAAAAAAATTTTTTAACAAAGTTACACAACTTTTAATGTTAGTTAAAAAAGTGAGTTTTTTAATAAGACAAAAATGTGCATTTAAGAGGTTAGTACCACACTGCCGTACAATTTAAAAACTTAGGTAACCGACATTTTCACTTAGGCTGATTGTAGCCTGTTTATTACTACTGAAATCAGCCTAAGCGACAATGTCGGTTACCTAAGTTTTTACATTTTACGGCAGCACATCTCAGTGATTTCTCTTAAATATTTTGTTTTGTTGCAAAATTTATTTTATTTACTTAAAACTTTTTATACCTAAAAGAAGGAGTTTTAAACTATCACAAAAATTTTATTCCTTATTTATTATGAATTATTTTGCTTTCATGGGCGTCTGAAAATACCCCTACTTGTGATTGGCGGACACAATATCTCCAATTCTGGTCATCGAAAAATAAAATTTTTGATATTTTCTAAAGAGTACGCTCGTCGCTATCGTCGGAATTACAATAAACTATTTTCGATGAAAAAAACAAAATGGCGGACTTTTTTCATTTTTGACCTTGTTTTTAGGGTTCCGTACTCGGTTCGGAACCCTATTAATATCGGTTTTTTTGAAATCGTGTACCCCCCCCCCCTAGCGGCCACACAAATTTATCTGGAGGGCTAAAAATTAGTACACATATGTATTTTCGCTTGTAGATTACAAAAAAAATATAGCGAGCATGATTGGAGTTGATTATCATAGCGTTGTCAAGGAAAAACCATGAATTTTTACGAAAAATACCTAAAAATGACTATGTACCCCCCCCCCCCTAGCGGCCACATCTTTTGACATAAAGAGCTCAAATTTGACACACTTACGTATTTTTACGTGAAAATTACAGGAAAAATATAGCGAACTTGATTCCGATCAATTTACATAGCGTTGTCAAGGAAAAATCAAAAATTTCGAAAAAAATGATTTATTCTCCCTAGCGCACACAATATTCAACCCAAATTGTTCACATTTGCTGTAAAACTGTATTTTTGCGTGAAAAATACAGGGAAAAAATGTAAGCGCGATTGGAGTTGATGATCAATTTTTATCAAATTTTTGAAGAAAAATGATAAATTTAATAAAAAAATGTATTTTTCCGCAAAAAACGAAAAAAATCGGACAAAGTGCGAGTTACACTCGCACTGAAATCGAGGGTTCCGTACTCGAAGCGAACTTATTTGGTATAAAAACAAATGTTTAAAAAATATGTGTTGTATATTAAATAATATATGTGATACAAAAATGAACAATTTTAAAAAAAAATTTAAGAAAATTGTTCCTCCTTTGATATAAAAACAAAAAAAAAATTTTAAATTTGTTTTGTATTTCAAATAATATAAGTGATACGAAAAGGAACAATTTTCTTAATTTACAAAATTGTTCCTCTTCGTATCACTTATATTATTTGAAATACAAAACAAATTTAAAATTTTTTTTTTGTTTTTATACCAAAGGAGGAACAATTTTCTTAAATTTTTTTTTTAAAAATTGTTTATTTTTGTATCACATATATTATTTAATATACAACACATATTTTTTAAACATTTGTTTTTATACCAAATAAGTTCGCTTCGAGTACGGAACCCTCGATTTCAGAAGGAATTCGGAGTGCAGAAAATAAAAACAGTGTGTGTCGATTGTTAAAAGCATGGTACGGTTTGAAACAAGCCGCACGATGTTGGAATGTAAAGTTTTCGCAAGCTCTCAAAGATTTGGGACTTGAAAATTGTGCGAGTGAGAAGTGCATTTTTCGCGGTATCGTGAATAACGATGAGGTTATAGTTGCGCTATTTGTTGACGACGGATTAGTTGCGTCGAAATCGCAAGAATCGTTAAAAGCTGTCATCGAGACATTAGGTGAATCGTTCGAAATCAAGCTGGGTGATTCAGCATGTTTTGTTGGATTAGAGTTAGAGAGAGATAGATGTAATAAAAGAATGTTTATACATCAAAGTTCGTATGCTTCAAAAATTGTAAGTAAATTTAATATGGAGAATGCTAATCCGGTTTGCATTCCTGCGGATCCAAATCAAGTTTTACATAAGCCCGAAGATGTTAATGTGATCGAATAAGTGCCTTTTCGCGAAGCCGTTGGCTCTTTGATGTTTCTCGCTATGGTATCGCGTCCCGACATCGCGTACGCTGTGAACAGTGTAAGTAGATTTCTCGAGAAACATGACACGAGTCATTGGAACGCCGTTAAAAGAATTATTAAATACGTGTCAGGTTCAATCGATTTTGGAATTGTATACCACGGAACAAACGAAAATTTTATTTTGACAGGTTTTACTGACTCGGATTTTGCGGGAGACGTCGACACGCGACGTTCGACATCTGGTTTTGTTTTCTTTTTATGCGGTGGAGCTGTCACTTGGTGTTGTCAAAGGCAGAAAAACGTCACATTGAGTACTATCGAAGCAGAGTACGTCGCGGCAGCATTGGCAGCGACAAGTTTTAAAAGATCTTGCTCGGAAACAAACTGATGCGACTTGCTTGTTCATAGATAACCAAAGTGCGATTCGAATTTTAAAAAACCCTGAGTTTCACAAAAGAACGAAACACATTGATGTGAAATTTCATTTCATTCGAGAGTTAGTCAAAAATAATACGTTGATTGCAAAATTCGTGTCTTCAGACGAACAATATGCAGATATGTTTACGAAGGCGTTCCCAAGATCTAGATTTAATTTTTTACGTGAGTGTCTTGGTATAAAAACTAAACAGGAGTTTTTCGATGCATATGAGCATTAAGTTTTGTTTCATCGCTTTTACTATTTTTTGTGTTTAATTTTATGTCTTGCGCGAAGTTATCAAGCAGGGAAGAAATTGTAATTTATGCTTTTTAAACGTTCGCGCCGTCCTATTCTATAAAGTACGCATGTGTGATGTGAGTGATAGTATCTTATGTACATTTCCGGTTTCTTTGTAGTCAGTTGTTAAAACGATTTTAATCAGTAAAGACTTAATTCTTAATCCTTTATTTTTACTTGTTTGTAACCTTAATATCAACAATTTATATATAATTATTGTTCTCCTCCTTAAGTCATAATTTTCCGCAGTCGCAACTTATCAAATCAATTTTGTATTTACATATATTCCAATGTTAGTAACAATTAGCGTATTATCCTGTTGAGCGTTAGGTTAGGGGGTTCGATCCCAGCGAGTGTTAAGTATTTTCGAAAATGTATGCAAGCGATTGCATTAAATAATAATAGGTAAGGGGTATATATAAGGTCTCCAATAATAAATAATATGATAATTAATTAACTATATAATAATTTCCGTATTCATTCATTCATTCATTCCGTCTGTCCACACTTGAAGTTAGTCGTATTTTGTTCCTTTTGTTTTTCTAAAATTTTGACAATTCTTAATTTCGTAATATTTTATGGTTAACACGACGGATATTTTTATTCTTCGTCATTAATTAAGTCATATACTAAGTGACAGTTTAAAGTTTAAAACATTACAAATTTTTTTTAGGTTTTATTTTTTCAAAATTTTTAACTATTTTTTAATTGCTTAATACTTTTTAAAATATAATTAATAATTTTCAGTTAATTTAAATTTCTTTTTGATTATATAATTTTTTAATATTTATTAATTATCAGTTAATTAAATTTTTTGAAAAAAAACATAAATTTAAAATTTTCATTTGCAACGAAATATTTATAGAAAATACAAAAAAATATTTAGCAAAACTAATTTTTTGTAATTTCAAAGATTATAAAAAATCATCGAACATTGACTTTATCAAAAATATTTATTTCTAAAATTTTAATATTTATGTTTTAAAATTTTTACTTAAAAATCTTATTTTTTTACTATCAATTCACAAAGAAATTATCTTACTCGTTATATACATTCTGTCAATAAGAAAATCCATTCGTCAGTAATATCTTTTATCCCAACAATCTCTGCCTTTTCGTATACAGTATACATAAGTGACAAGGAATATTTTAATCATAATTGACACAACATAATTAATTTTTCTCGGCATTTCAAAAGGCGGCGGTTATGTTGGCGATACTAGAATTGATTTAGCAACATTTACACCGCCAATTGTAATTATTGGTTTTAATTTATGTTTTTCTTATCATCACTCTTGCGATAGGTTTTTTCTTGGGTTTTCATTGTTGTTACCGTCAACAATTGAACTAATAGTTTTACAAGTTTATTAAATTTAAAAATTAACTTAGCTAAATTATTTTTGCTGTATTAACTAATAATGAGCTGACTTAACTAAAAAATCACTATTTATATAACATCAAACTCATTTTTTTCTGTGTATCAATAAATGATAACGTGAAAATTATAAATATACCTATTATTAATTTATTACTCCACTGATGCAGAATTATTATTATTATTATTATTAATATTATTATTATTTTAAAACAACCATTGCATCCAAAGTTGGACGCACGCTTGCGCGCGTGTAATTTTGCTAGTTGTATAAATAATTTAATTTTTTTAGTGTTGCAATTGCTACATATTCGATATTGTTACAGAACAGTTGAAATTTGACACTGTTCTAACTATGTTTATTTTAGAGTTTCCTTTTTCTATTACATGAAGTTTTAATATTTTTATTAAGAATAAAAAATATAATATTGCAATAATTATTCTTATATATGTTAGGCTCAAAAGCCGAAAACGGCTAATGGTCGAAAAAAACAGCCAAACCTAGTTTTGCTCGGTGCATTTTTGCCAAAACTAGTTGTGGCAGATTTACTTCGACCATTGGCCGTTTAAAATTGGCAAAACTAGTTTTGGAAAACCGTTATTTGCCAAAACCAGTTTTGGCATCGTTAAAAATGACAAAAGCCGTTGAATAAAAAAAAGTGTTAAAAAATAAATTTTTTTGCAGACAGTAATTAATTGATTCATTAACAACGAGTATTTTTATTTTCTAAAATCATTCAAATAATTGAAAGTGACAAATTCCGTTAAATCAGAAAATGTGTTTACATATTGTGCATGCGTCATCTCTCTCTTTTCTTTCTCTCTCAGTATTTAATTGAACGATTGATAGCCTTTGTGTATAAAATCAAAAACTCAATATTGCAAATTAGTATTTAGTCAGACCTTGTACTGCTCTGTGTAGAAAATTGTACTATGTATATTTGATTGACATTTTCTGTGTATTTGATGCTCCTAACATTCTACAATCAGACAATGGCCGCGAATTTCGAAATCAAGTCATTAAAAATCGCGCACAGATGTGACCTGGATTAAAAATGGTCCACGGAAAGCCTCGTCATTCCCAAAGCCAGGGATCAGTTGAGCGGTACAATCAGGATGTCAGAGATATGCTGGTATCGTGGATGGCCGATAATAAAACCAAAAAATGGTCGGAAGGGTTACGCTTTATCCAGAGTAAAAAGAATCGTGCTCTTCATACTGGAATTAAAGTGAGTCCATATGAAGCAATGTTCGGCTGTTCACAAAAAATTGGTTTAGGCGATTCACAATTATTGGAGGAAGACTACGCTTCAATGACTACTGAGGAAGAACTTGAGGAACTTTTAAGCGCGCCTAATACTGAGGATCAGAGTGCGGACAACTCAACTGAAGATAATACTAATGATTGCGAAAAAGACGTAATTGATAATAAATGTCACATTTGTGGAATTGAAGCCGACGTTGAGGACCTTTGCATTACTACTGACGAAAATGAGCTTAATGGCAAAAAATTGTGCAAGGTGTGCTTCAGAAAAATAGTGAATACACGGGGTGCAGCAGCAAGAGGGTTAAAGCGGCAAGCAGAAAAAATGCTTGCTCATTCCAACGAGAAGTTAAGACCAGTTCCTGTTGGGTCAAACGTGGTATTGGGAGTTCCTGATGTGGATAGAAGCAGAGTTGCAGCTCGTAACGTACTGGCAGTTGTTGAAGCAGTCACACCTGATGGTCTTCATCGTTTAGGAACCAAAGATGGTACACTGCATAGGCAGTACGCGCGGAATGAATTTACCCCTGCTGATTCAAGATTTATAACCGCACAGGATGTACCACCCACAACCTTAACTTTACGAAAAGCTTCGGCTCTTAACTCTGGTTCAACGCAAGGATTTGTTTTCTGCAACTGCGCGCAATATTGCAAAACAAACAAATGCAAGTGTCGGACAAAAAATGTGGATTGCAATTCCAAATGTCATTCAAACAGTTCTTGTAAAACTAAATTTTCTGACTAAATACTAATTTGCAATATTGAGTTTTCGATTTTATACACAAAGGCTATCAATCGTTCAATTAAATACTGAGAGAAAAAGAAAAGAGAGAGATGACGCATGCACAATATGTAAACACATTTTCTGAGTTAACGGAATTTGTCACTTTCAATTATTTCAATGATTTTAGAAAATAAAAATACTCGTTGTTAATGAATCAATTAATTACTGTCTGCAAAAAATTTATTTTTTAACACTTTTTTTTATTCAACGGCTTTTGTCATTTTTAACGATGCCAAAACTAGTTTTGCCAATTTTAAACGGCCAATGGTCGAAGTAAATCTGCCACAACTAGTTTTGGCAAAAATGCACCGACCAAAACTAGGTTTGGCTGTTTTTTTCGACCATTGGCCGTTTTCGGCTTTTGAGCCTAACATATACACTGAGAAAACTGGAGGTTTCAGGTTAACATTTGGAGGGATAAAGAGTTTATATTTGTGAGTTAGCTATTGGAAAATAATTTAAATAATGAAATACAACATTCAAAGATATTTAAGTCATTTCTCCTGGAGGGAAAATGAATTTATGGCAGAGGGACAAATTATTAATCTTGAGAAATCCCTTCCTTATCGTACGAGGAACGAATAAATATGGCAACCTAAACCCAAAATTCAGTCTATTTGATTGAGAAACAAATACGTTCGCGCATCATCTAGTTCACACTTTCTGCGCAGAATTTAACCCTCTAAATATAATAAAACAGAATATACAAGCAGATTTCTTTTATCTATTTAAAAATCTATTCCTAGAAGGACTATTAAACTCTCTTTAATAATAAAGGGATTCATACACTTTTTGAACCTCCTGTTTTCTCAGTGTATATAGTCATGTCAAATGTGAGAAAATTAAAAGAAAACAATTCTTTTAACGTTTCGGCAACACCGTTCCCTTTTTCAGAAACTGAAAATTTTTAATATATATAAATTCAAAAAAAAAACCTTTTTTACAAATTGTGAATATAAATTAATCGTCATAAAGTTATACATCTGATAAATTGTTAACACCTCGTTAAGACATAAATACTTATTCCGAATGCAATTTATTGAAATTACAATTGACAAACATATAACTGACCCTTTTTTTACCCTTTACACATTTCAAATGTGCCCAGTTTTTGCAAACCATGCATTGAATCAACTTTTCTCTTGATTTCGGGTTGGAATACCTATTCGAACAAACGAGGTAATAGTAGATTATGGTTATGTAGCGATTGACAGCGGCACAACCAGCCCTAAGTGAAAGGCTCAATTAACCTCGTTGCGTCGACGCTAACTTTTTATCAAATATTAAAAAACATGATAAATTAAATGTTAAGATCAATACACCATTGAATCCCTCGATAAATTTGGATCATTTAAAAAAAATACGTATCGATATCTTTAAAAATGCAAAAAATAAACCAAAAAGTGTAAACATGAAAGCTTGGACGTAAGCGACGCCAAAGCACCAAAATACTAACAGCTAATTATTCCGTGAAGCAAACAAAATTAAAATAGTTGCCAAAGATGCGCATAAGTAAAAGAATACTTCTCTCACTTCCACTTTTCAAAAAAAAATTTTGTTTTTGAGATATTCCTATAGGCACAACTTATCCCCGGCACTTTCAGCCCCGGTCTCCCCTAGTGAATTTTTTAAAATAACTTTTTCTTATATAGAAATTTTAATTAATTCTTGTCAAAATTGTATTCCTGGCATAAAAACGAATCAATTGATGTATATATAGTTTACATTTTACCAACATTTATAAAATTGATCGCTATTTTAGTTGTGATCCTTCTTTTAATCTGGAATATAAGTGTATGATGATGAGAAAGCTAAATGGTCATAAAATAAACACCTTTGCGTCGATTATGTAATTTGATTTGATTCTGACGTCAAATTCAAATTTATTTCGACGTCAAAGTCAAATTTAATTCGAGAAATTCATTTTTTGATTTGAATTTGACGTCAAAATCAAATCAAAAAATGAATTTCTCGAATTAAATTTGACTTTGACGCCAAATAAATTTGAATTTGTAGTCAGAATCAAATTACATCATCGATACCCTTGTTTAATTAATAAATAATATTTGAGAATTTAATTAATTTAATTAATAACCTTTTTCTGATCCTTTACTTTTTCAATAATGTCTTACAATATTATTTCGATGATTTTTCTTATTTATTATGTTTTTTTTCCTTTTACAAATGGTTGTGTATCATTGTGGTTAGAGTCTTGCACTAGCGTCCAACGTACCCAGGTTCGATCCCCCGCCCGTACAGACTGATTTTCAAAAATGTACTGTGTTAGGTTTTTGAAATATGTGATAACTGTGATAAAATCTGACTCTAAGTTAAGAATTCGAATTATCTATGATGTGTAAATGTGTAAAAAAGAGTAAAGAAGGTATGTTCTTGATATGAACATCAGGAAACATGAATTATTTGGTAAATAATTTTTTCAGAAACAAAATTAATGTTAGCATGAAACTATTGATCTAAAGTAAAAGAGAAGTTAATTCAATAAAATCTGTAATATCATTTATTTTGTATATTTTAATTGAATAGCATGGCTTCTTCACTTCAAATATTCTTCACATTAGACACACAAAATATGCTATGGTAACAAGAGTGCATGCTATTAAATCTATGGCATGGCGTAATAATCTATAGCATAAGGGGCCGTCCAGATACCACGTGGACAATTTCTCATCACTTTTTGACCCCCCCTCCCCCCTCGTGGACAATTGTGGACTTTGACGAACCCCCCCACCCCCCTAAATGTCCACGTGGACTTTTTTTGGTGAAAATTTTTTGTTTGTATGTTTCTTATTTTAAAATGGTAAATAAATAGATATTTAATACTTATTAGAAAACATTTAGTCACTGTTTCTTTTAATTATAAAAATAATTTTCAAGTTTACTGCTAGTAAACTTAAAATTTTGCTAAGCAAAATAACATTTTTGGTTGAATCACATAACAATCACATTGGTAACACATCTTAGAATAACGTTTACCAACTAAATACCATTATTTTTTGGTATCGTGAAGATATTTTTGGCAAAAATATTTCAAATTACTCTACAAACTAAAAATACATAAATCTTTTTGGCAACAAATCTTAAATTATCGATTACTATAGTTAAAAATACAATGTATGGTAGAATTAAAATATTTATGCCAGGAATATCTGGAAATTATCGTATAAAATAAAAGTAGGTAAATCTTTATGGTAACAAATCTTAAAATAATATCGAAAAAACCACAAATCTACTAATCGTCATCTATATTATCATTGCTGATCCATGGTTGTGTTAACCATTCGGCAAGATTATCAGTTGCGAAAAAATCAATGGAGCTCTCTGAAGTTACATTATTTTCCATCTCTACACAAGACACTTCAACAAGTTCCGTTTCTTCATCCCAATCCTCTGTATTTCTTTTACGTTGATTTTTATGTAATATTTTAACGTGAGTAGTTAAGTGCGACTTTGCGCCAAATAAAGGCCACATTCACTGCATATGCGTTTAAAATTTTTAAAAACAGTCTGTTAGTTGATTGAAGTATTTTGAGTCAATAGTAGTTTCAAAATTCAAGATGTATTTCAAATCAAAATTTGTTACGCTGAGTATCAAAATTTTTATCGGAGTCCTATCTGTGGAATCTTTTTAAGGGGTCACAGTAGGTCTTAAATTCATTAAAAATGAAATTGTATTTTATGAGAATTCGGGTTAAGGCGGGTTTGTTATGATTTTTCACGTGTAGGACACCAGCCGGCGTATATTGATTCGATAAAACTCGAACGAAATAGATAAAAATATCAAATGACTTGCGCAGCGCTGCATAATACACTGGCGCGAAATTTAAAAGAGGGATAAAAAACAATAAATAAAATTTCATTTTTACTGGGTCCACGTGGATATTTGCTTTGACCCCCCCCCCCACCCCCCCAAAACTGTCCACGTGGTATATGGACGGCCCCTAATCTATAGCATCATATGCTATTGAATTAGCAACAAACGTCTTCGAACGATATTGAATATACCGTTTAATGTGACAAACTAATATTTCATTGATTCAATAACATTTTTTTCTCAGTGAATTATTTTTAATTGAATACATCACAGCACAGGATATTTAAGGATATTAATTTGCTTCCGGCGGTTTGGACATCCCTAAGATATCCTAAGTATATCCTAGGGATATCCAAACTGCCCCAAGAAAATGGATATCCTGATGATATCCCTGAGATATCTTTAAATATCCAGTGCTGCTATTTTACAAAAAATATTTTTTGCGTTGTTGCAGAATATTATTATTATATTATATGTCCTTTTTTGTTATTTTCGATATATTAATTAATTAATTAGGGAAGAATAGTTAGGGTTGGATAGTGGTTAGGGTTGAGCCATCGCGTTTACTTTATTTTATCACATTAGCGCCATCTGCCTGTGGGTAAGATGGGATACCCTATTCCTAATCCCTTTTTCTGTGTTATCTTAATCGTCTTGTTTTCAAATTTGTCACGTTCTTAAAATCTGTAGACATAAAAATTATTACTAAATATGAAAATAGTGAACTTTATGAATTTCGGTTTTGAGTAACAATTATAATGAAAGCAAATTGCCTTTAGAAAAAGTATCTATAAAACTTTATGGCAAAATGTCTAAACTCTAAATTGACCATTTGATAATCTTTACCGATGAGTTACCTGAACCTTTGGGACCCTTAATTAGTCTCCATCCCTACCAGAATTTCAACAACCTCCAACCAAAAATTCGTACCTACCTATTTTTCTAATTATAACCAATTACAACCTGAATTTTCCCTCCTCTTCCAATTTTCCACCACTTTTTTCTCGACACCCTTGTCGCGTTCTTTTTGGAAATTGTAAACATGGTTCTTTGAGCCGGATTCAAAAGGAAATTGAACTATTACACAACAAGTTGAGTGCGCAAACCGTGAAAAGAACAAACTAAAGCG